CCTCCCTCCATCCCTCCCTCCATCACTCCCTTCCTCCCTTTGCTGCGGAGGCTGCGGTCATCCTGGTGACAGCCTGCATCTCTTCTGCTGCTGCCGCCGCCTCTCTTCACTTGGGTTGAAACAAAACAAGTGAAACTAATGCTACTTTGCTTTGTTGCACCATTTCACACGAGGCATCCTTCAAGGCCACGGAGTCTTACACACAGATCTTTATTTAGGCACATCAAAGCCTCTGTATACAGATGCAGTGTTCATATACAGTGAATGTTATCCTGCTGATCAGTATGATACTTTTAAGATAAAAACAACATATTGTGATACAGTCATGAAGGAATAAACATTTTGATAGGAAACCACACTTGGTTGTCTTTTTCTTATTCTTAAGTCTGCAATAACATTAACTGACACCATTTTCTTAACTAGTTATTTAGTTCCTGTCCTGCTGGTCATCATATCCAAATAGTAATGATCATATGGGTTTAAATCAATAGTGTGGACAGACAGAAAAGTGTAGCCGTCTCTGCTATATCCCGCTTGTTGCAACGTATTAAGCCTGTAAACAATTGTTACAAAGCAGTGTACATAAATAGACTCAGCCTTGAATTGAGGGCCAATCTGAAGAGCCATTTCTTCTATAATTAGGATAATACAACCACTCTGCACTTATTCTTCTCTTGGTTTTTGCTAAATCACTTTTCTACTTCCTGACCAAATCCTCCCATATTTGCATAATGTTTAAAATGTCTGGAAGGGGATATATAGACATTTGTAACTGTATGCAAATATGGGAGAATGTGCATGCCAATTTCATGCTGCCTGAAGTGAAGATAGAAAAAGATGCTTTTCTTCTGCATGCAGGACTGCCCTGCTTTCACTGTGGTGTGCACTGCTCTGATTTTTGCGGCTTAGTTGAACTTTGACCTCACATTAGAGAAGAGGAAGTGGATAGTGGGTGTTTATTTCTGCAAATTTGCAACATGGAAGCTGCGATTTGCAACAATTTCCTCGCTTGTTAATTTCGATGGTTAACTGATCGAATCAAACGCCATACATACAATTCAGGCTTGAGAATGCAAGAGCCCTGTAGACAAATGTATCTGTACTGTACTGTCATGTGTCATCTAAGATCTCCATTTGGGATTGGCTTGTAATCACCGCTCACAAATCACTTTAGTGAGACAAGCCCCTCGTTGGAAAATGAATGTTATGGTTGTTTATGTTCCAGTGTACTCTGTAGCATCCTATTTAGCTGCTTTGTTTGATGTTTAACTTCACACTGGAGCAGAGGGGCATTTAGGCTGACCCCAGTGACATGCCCACCTGCCCCATCCCCACCCTTATGCACACCACTGGTATAAATGTTGAAAGCCCCTGTAGTCTCACGTCCAAATGAATATGGTCATATTATTGATATTGACACACTTGATCAAATATATTGCAGTTTGTTGATATTGCCTTCCTCAAATGGGATCACTTACTGGACACAAGGGCCTAAACTCTACTTCTTCCGAGCATCATTTGTCCTATAGGAGGCAAACAACTGACATGTTGCTGTAATATATTCCATCATAATGTTTAATTATGTCTCCAAGCACTGCACTGTCTGTGAGCCCTCCAGTTGCCCTACAAAAAGCCCATTAAGACAGCCTGACACAAGTCATCTGCATGCCATGATGATGAAGGCGGCAGTAGCAGCAGCAGCAGCAGCAGCCTGTGGTTGTGTGAGGCAGCTCGAAGCAGAGGGGCGGGGAGGGGGCGCAGCCGGAGCTCACATCCATTAACGACCACCGACAAACCGGGAAGCCTCCCTCCGGTAGCATCGCAGCGTCCACCGACACACGGCCGGGGAAGATGGTCGCGGTGCAGACGTCCCCCAACTCGTCTCCGTCGGCGGAGTGGATCTGCTGCCTGGATAAAAGGTGGGTGAACAACGCAGACGGACTCCACGAGACGCTTCCACGCCGCGCATCCCCACGCACACGGCGATGATTGTGTTTTCTCAGCTTTCATTCACCAACGTGATTAATCGCAACCGGCGATCGCTGCGTGTGCAGTGTGTGAGTGTGCAAATAATAGCGTGATACGCCTCGTTTTTAGCGTACTATAGGTGACTGTCATTTGCAGTGAATGTGCAGCCCTCGTCCAGTGATGGTAAAGGCTGCAGTGAAAAACAATATACACGCTTTAAAATAACAACAACTAATCCTGTTTTTGTGTCTGCTCGGTCAAAAAGGCGTTGGTGGCTTCGAGGTTCTGACACTGGGATGTCTCTGCACTGCATGAGCTGTGATAGGTGGCTGATTAGACGCACATGGTTTATGTCTGTAGGCTTAAATCAAATAGCCATACATTTTTAAAATACTACCAAGGCTTGCATGTTAGTCATTTACTCGAAATGTGGAGTAGAGGCAGGTCAGTTTGTTGACCACAATGCTGCATGTGAAGCTGTATTTGTCTGGTTAGAATAACTGAACTGCCAATTTGCCAATATGTTTACTCTCATCCTCATTTCACTATCCAGAAGCTGCAGTGTTCAGAGAAGCTTTTAGTCCATGCTGTAGCTGCCCAGTTCACATTTAAGGTGTCATGCTGCAAGCGTACTGTGCCAAAAAAAAGGCATAGTATCCAAGGGAGAGGGCTTAAATAAATAAACAAGATAAAATGGCAGCTTATACACTAATTACTGTAGATGATACACCTCACACCTAAAACAATGGCATATAAGACACCCCACAGCTCATACACCCACACATACACACCTCACTATGACACATCCTCATGTTACCATTGGCAACCTGAAGCTACCATCTTGTCTCCTCTTCCTCACCTGTAATACGACTGGAAGCATGATCTAAACACAACATGCTGTGTAGGACTGTAACTAAGGATTATTTTTTACATTGGATTAATCTGATGATTATTTTCTATTCTATTCATTATATATATCCATGATAGTTTTCCAGAGCCTGAAGTGTCGTCTTCACATTTTTTCACGTTTTGTCCGACAGTTCAAATCCCAACAATATTTAAGTTGCTATAATTAAAGACAAATATTTACTTTTAAGAAGCTGGAGCCACTAAATGTGTGCGTAATTGTTGCTTTAAAGATTAATAAATCTTCTGTTGATTGACTGATTGATTAGTTGTCAAACTGTTTGACTATTAGTTAGTGTAATTTGTTAAGTTATTGTTAAATGTGGAAAATTGGGTAAAATATGATATAAAATCATTGTGAAAGAAGATTTTTACAACCATTGTCTTATCTGGTGTCGACAATAAGAAAAAAAAAAAAGCAACCACTAAACAGCACATTGCTGTATGAGGATGGAACAATAATGTGTCACAGATGTAGCATCATGGAGCTGTCCCCAGTGGAATCAAGGCGTCACACTAAATGTTTGTATGCAGTAGTAGTCGGGTGTCAGTAAGGGCAGTCTGGGTTGTTATATTAGACTGGACAGGATCTTATTGTAGAGCACTCAGTGCTCCTCAGCTATGCACCTCCTTATACAATCAATATCCAGCAGTGTGTGTGTGTGTGTGTGTGTGGGTGAGCTTTCATCTACAGTAGCTGTTGATGTGGGAAGAGTGAGAGGCGGGGAAGAGGGGGAAGGTAAAAGAAAGACAGAGGTTAAGATACGACTGTCTCTAATATATCTGTCCAGAGACATTTATTGCCAGTGAGTGTGAAGTATGTGAGATAAGATCAGATTTGTTTAGTTCAGTGTTGCCCTGGGGCAGGTAATAGACGGTCCAGTCAACACACAAACAGCGATATCCAGATGCCAGTTGAAGTTTAATGTCATCAAATTAGAAGCACAGAGCACTGTGACTCTGTAAGTCTAAGGCTAAAGCAAGAAAAAGTCTTCCAAGTTAAACCTATTGCCTCGTTCATACGTAGGTTACTTTGCAGATATGACGAGGGTAGATGGGTAATTATTTTGATGAGTAATTTTTCAATGATGAATTGTAAACTAAGCGCTGTGTGCTGATTAATAGGCAGTGTTTCTAACAAGATCTCAGGTTGTTAGCGGTGATGCAGATGAGTGTCCGAAGAGCTGCGTACGTACAATTCTAGAGTCTCTCTGCTACAGTAACGCATTAATCTGCCAGCTTGGGGAATCTGTTTGTGTTGAGGCTGTCTGACATTTTGGTTGGCTGCCACAAATCAACCTATGATTTATTTTGTCTGGAAACACAGAATTTTTCCAGATGGATGTTTCCTAAAACAATCTGCAGAACCTTCTGGTGTCTCTCGGCTTTCTCTTCAGTGTGTCATGTTGGCCTATTTGTAAATCCTGTGTGTGTGTGTGTGTGTGTGTGTGTGTTTATGTAGCCATAATTGGTGGTTGAAAGCGGAGATCTCTGCTGATATGAACAGTGGGGTTGAGGCTGAGGAAGGGAGAAGTCAAGGAAGAGAGAAAAGGGGGACGGAGGGGAGAGTAAGACAAGGTGAGCAGCTCTCAGGTCACATCCGTCTCACACCAGTGGGAGAGAAACAAATTCCACTGGACAGGCAGGGAGCGAGCAAGCACAGGACAACAGAAGAGAGAAAGACTGAGGGAACAAGGACTTAACCAGGGGATTATAACTGACAGATCTTAACAGTTTCGCTGTAGACGGATAGGTGAAGGGTGACACTGGTATTACCCATTCAACCCTGCAGAGTTAACCTCCCCGTCTCTCCCTATTGCAGTGTGTGGGAGTCCACCTGTCTAAACCATTAACCCAGCCTACGCTGGGATATGACGCTCTGTCGGAGCACCAAGGGCCAATGCGCAGGCAGTGGGAGGATGAGTCAGAGACAAAAAAAGGGGATAAAAAGACAGAGAGAAAGAAAAGACCCGTCTGTAATAGCCCTGAGTGCGTGGCAGATGTTGTGGGACTAGAATATGTGTTGTGCAGTGCAGCCCTTGAGACTAAGTCTGTGTTTATCTGGGAGTACCGTCCCGGGTACGGAGGACAATCCGCTACAGCTCGGGGGCACAAAAATATGTGTGTTTATCCCTGTATGTACATGTGCGTGAGGGTAAAAGGGGGAGTCATCGCTGCCTGTGAGCTTGCAAAGCAGAAATAAAAAGGATAATAATGGGATGATAGTGAGGGCGGGTGCGTTAGTGGTGGGCCTTAATAGATGGAGGGAAACGAGCCAGTAACAGAGAGGAGAAAATGGATAGCGTAAAGAAGAAGAAGAGGGCCATTTGTTCTTTTTGAACTTGCCTATCATGTTCCTTAAAAAAAGAGGCAAGTCTTGAGAGAGGAGAAAAAATAGATGGAGATGAGAAATATTTAGTGAAGGCAGCGGAGAAGAGAGAGCTGGGAGCGAGGGAAGGAGAAGAGGAAGGAGCTGAAGGAGGAGAGGGGATAGACAGCCTTTCGTCTGTGAAGGAAGAAGCCCACAGTGCATTAGCTATTCTGTATGAACACACACACACACACACACACACACACGTGCAAGGATGAGTCACTAGCAAAAGGAAAATAAGTGAATGAATGGGGCTAACTGCAGCGTGTGTTACTCTGAGAGGTTTTGGCTTTGTAGTTTTTCATCATCACATCGCATAGCAGAAGGTTTAAGCTCTCAGATCAAACTTCTGTGTGTTCTCATGTCTGTGTGAGGTGTTGAGGTCCAACAATGGCGTGTGTGTGTGTGCACGCGCGCTCAGATTTAAGCGTATTAGAAATAGCAGCAGTACAAATGAGATCTTGCATCAACACCCTGTGGGGGGTCTGAGCCGAGAGAAGTAACGCCTGCAGCACTCCACTGTTATCGCTGAGACTCCAGGCCGAACAATGAAGCTGTGCGTTCACACAAACACACACACACACATACACATACACACAAATACATAGATAACAGCAAAACAATAGAGCTGCCTTTTATCTTTTAGGACAATAACACTGATTTTTCACGTTTTAGCCCATTAACTGCTAATTACGAGTATTTAACATCACTGCCAACCGCTTTCCAAAGTGTACTGCAGGTTTTTGATTGATTTTCTTACCCTCCATGCAGAAATGGACTCACTTGAGATAGATAATCCATCACAGTGAGCTAGTTACATCATGCAGTTAATCATTTTGTATAAAATAGTTTTGCAGTTAATAGGCCAAAACGTGAAAAAACACTGATATGGTTCTTAAACAGCTAATGTTAGAATTAATGAGTGGTTCTTTTTGTGCACAGGCCTTCAGAGCGCTCAGGAGAGGATGTGGACATTATATTGACCAGACTGAGAGAGGTCAAAGCCTTCCATAGGTTCCCACCGCCGCTCTTACTGCAGATCTGTGCCTGTGCCTTCTACGAATGTCTGGAGAAAGGCATCACATGTATGTACTTGTGCGCACACACACACACACACATGCACACACGCGCGCACAAACTCACACAGACACACAGACGCACAGACATAGCTGATGTGTTGGTTATGTACAACAATAGATGCTTCTGAGGATTCAGGCTCAGACTAGCACTCTGCAGTGAAACATCATTATACAGTATATTCAGTGTTTGGTATTATATGACAGTCGGGCTGCAGAAGATCCCTTCGCTGTTTGAAGTATGATGCATTGGAATGCAAAGTACTGTCATCCTTTAAATTCATGTTATCCATATACGAATTATGCAGGCCTTTTTCAACTCATTCGTGGGATGTGGATGTTGGCACATTTAATGACTTTCGTGGAGAAGCCTTTTTATGGCTACAGTTAAATGATTATTGCTGTCAATTACTTTTCAAATATTATATTTTTTTAAATCTGAAAATGCCATGATAAT